AATGTTTATTTCACGGTTAAATTGTATTAATATAATTATTTAAATAAATTTACAAAACAAAAAGTTATCGTCTGATTACAGAAATATTTTTCGATGATTTACCATGCAATTAAAAAAAATCCTCAGGTGTGAAGCCCGATTAAGATGTGGGAGTAGAATAATATTGATTTTATTTTATCAATGCATGACCTTAATTTTTATTATTGTAATTGAAGTATTTTTTTCCCAGATTTTTACATATATATGTATTTTTAGAATAACTTTGCACTCAATCGTCCACACATACTGAATATAGAAAATAAACATTATTGCCAAGGATGGTCGTAGACTAAACAATCCGCGTTTTGCTGGGAACATGCCCTGATGACCGACAAGCTTCGGTTGAAACGTCAGAAACAATAAAAAAAAACTTAAAATGACAGCGTTCAGACAATTTATCACCCATAATCTGAGTTTTTGAGTAAATACAAACGAACATGTATAAATATAGATATTTTTGTTCAACTTAAACATTTATTAGAGTTCGTAGTGTCTATTTTCTTCTTTTTTTTTTTTTTTCAATTGGATATTGTGGCTATTGTTTGTGAGCTTCTCCACTTGCTAAGGCTATTACTTACAATAACTTGATATATTACCCTGTTAGCAAGTAATGCCAAGGACTACACCTTTTGTAATAGAATCATAAGCAACAATAATGAGACATATATTTACCATGCAATCTCAAAATATTGCAAAAGCCCTTTTCTCTTCGCTTCGCCCATGACCGAGCATACAGGAGAGGCATCATAACACTGACAGCTGTGAAGAAAAACCCTTCCATTCATGATACTGAGTCTCTCGTCTTAGCTTTTTTTTTTTTAGTTCTCAACACTTTGCTGATAAGGGTATTTTTATGTGAGTGCGAATCCCTGGTTACACACGTACTTATGTAGGATTTTCAAGTAAATAATATATAATCCAAAATCCAAGATGATACTGACATCAACCCAATAAATGTACTTTATTAATGGAAAACATAATTTCTCCTACGATATCTTTCTAAAGAACTCGGCATAACCACTTGTAAAAAAGATAACCCATAATCTCGGAAATCTTCACGACATCTACTCCTGTTACATATAATCCTAGATACTAGACTGATACGATAAAAACTGCTCTTTGATAATGAACTACAAATTCCTAACAGAAAGACCAGGCTTAGTACTTTTTTTATTCAGCCTCATTTAAAAAAAAAAAAATTGTACATGATTCACGATGACACGGTATGGGCAGAAAAGGTCCTCTCTCCTCCAATAGTAAGAAGTACTACAAATAATTATCACTTCTAATTAATTAACAACAGGGCAGAATATCGGTAAATAGATAGATAATATAGATTTTTAACACAAAAACACGACAATCAATCAATTATTAAAAAGAATTTTTTTTTCAAAACTACGAAATCCAAGTGGATGGATTCAGATTGGAAATAGGTAAGTAGAATTTGCAGAACCCTGGTAAAAATTAGAAATTATGATGTATGATATATTATTGGAGGTATATACATACATTATATATATATATATATATATATATATATATGTATATATATGTTTTAGATGGATATGGAGCTGTGTGTATGATGCAAATTATTAAAAAACGACACCGAATTTAGTGTAGTTTTAAATCCTCTTGAATATGTTTCATGCTTAGTTTATACATTTTTATTATATACGTATTTATTTTTGTACTTTTTTTTTTTTTTAGTTTGTAAACATAGTAAAACATTTTTTTTATTTTAACAGATACTTAAAGTTTATGACTATTAGGTATCAATAGTTGATTCAGGATTTCATTTTTTTGGGTGGGAGGGGGAGGAGGTAGGAGGCTACCATTGAGGGAGGGGGTCCTAAAAAAAAACTAACCTGAGCAAACCTACATTCACAAAAGAGAATCGTAATTATTTGTGTGTTTGGCCGATATCATTCATCGAAACAAAAATGGAGTAATGTAAACAAAGATTAAGATTTTATTGGGGTGGGGAGTTCATAATTTTTTAAACTCTTAAACAAATATATTTTTTTTTTTTAACATTTCACGAATATCACCCTTTAAACTTGAGATTCGTTATTCATATTATTAGACACCTTTCGTGAAAAAAAAAAAAAATGAAGGCTATACTTTAGGCTATGTTTTCTAATTTCATCCCGATAGTAACGGAATCTGCAAACAAGATAGATCAGGGGCCTTTTAAAATTGAAATTTCATTTTGACGAGTCATTTTATATTCAGTTGTAAAAAACATAGGGGAGGGAATAATTTATCGGTGCTATGAATTGAGCATTTAATTTTAAAATAGGATGCTTGGTACCAGTTACCCAAATGCCGGACTGTTTCTATCCTTTATTACCAGGTTACAGCGACAATCTCTTCTTAACGGTAAACACTAACTGGTGCTAACTGACATTTAACAGCTGTGAAATTGGAAGCGGTTATTCCTAGGTCTTCCTCCACTGACATTTTAATCTCGCCCTCAGTGCTTCACTATTTGGCCCTTCGGATGCAGTCCCATTGTCAATGGCAGTATTTTTTTTTTTTTTTTTTTTTTTGTACAGGCATTAATATACCTATGCTAAACATATATATAGTTACGTACCTGATTTCGTTCGGCATCTACAGACCGAATTAGTCGATGGTTATTAAAATTTAATATATTATAATCGGATCATATCTTTTCTATTTTTTTTTCATCACTACACCTCTGACTAAACATCCAATAAATAATCGATAAACATCATATTAATGTTAGGATATAAATTGATATAAATCCAAACTCTGACGCCATTAGTCTCAAATATACACTTGAAAAATTAAACTGCCAACGTTTCACCAAGCAGGACAGAAAAAACAATATCACATTTATGCAGAAAAAAAAGAAACGTTTGCAAGCCATCCAGATGCATACTGAAGTAAACGGAAGGTTGCATATACACAGCAGAGAAAGGTTACATTTAACAGCTGATTAGAAGGGATAGAAGGAAAGAAAAAAATTGCGTATACCCAAAATATAATAGTATACATAATATTTTTAGTATACCTAAAATATAATAGTATACATAACAATTAATATTACTAAACATACAACTCAGAAAGATATATTAAGTATAAGATAAGGGAGGTTAATTGTTCACATATATGTTAGAAACTCATGGTTATATAGATTGCATTTTTCCATTTATATTCTCATTACTTTGTCTCTTTTTGAACTATGTATTTATTTCACTAACGCCATATTGACGTTTCGGCATTTCTGGAGAAGAAAATGCTGATGATTTTATAACCAAAAGTCATTTGATATCGTAGATTATTTTATAACGATACAATGGTATGATAAAGATAACTGTTATTTTTTGTATTTGTTGTAAGAATAAACGTAAAGGAACCTCCATACTATTAGCCTTTTAGGCACTTCTAACATTCAATCTACGACCAACAATATCTCCATCGTCGTTGAAAATTATATTGTCGATTCAAAAACTCAATTTCGTTGCTTGCTATCTTGAGAGCTTAGTTCTCTTAAATATATATATATATATATATATATATATATATATATATATATGTATGTATGTATATATTTAATAGAACTAAGCTCTCAAGATAGCAAGCAACGAAATTGAGTTTTTGAATCGACAATATAATTTTATATTTATATATATACACTGACAGGCAAAAAATTCCACCCACTTGTTACACATTAAGGAACCACGTTGGAAAGGTTGGCTCTGGGAAAAATTACAGGCTGCATATCTTTCGTTTCTTCTTCTCCACACCCTTTCACGCCCATCTGGAGATCGAAGAGCGAATCTTGACTCATCTGTAAAAAGTACAGCACTCCATTCGTCCATAGTCCAATGGCTGTGTTCTCGAGCAAAAGCCAGCCGTGTTACTCTGTGAGTTCTGGTCAACTCTGGTCCTCTTACTGGACGAAAAGCCATTAATCCATACTCATTTAATCTTCTCCGAGCGGTACGTTCAGAAATTTGCACACCTCGAACTTCTTCGAGCTGATGAATCGCTTGAACAACGGTAAGGTGGCGGTTTCGTAAAATTCTCAAAGTCAAAAACCGGTCATCCCGTGGTTCTGTTACCCTAGGCCGTCCAGAACCGGGCCTTCAATTCTAAGGACCAGTTTCCCAAAAACGCCTGACGGCGTCTCGTAAAGTTTCATATGGAACTCCGATGGCGTTAGCTGCATATCTAATGGAACGTCCATCATCAATAAGTGCCACAACACGCGCAACATCCTCAGCACTAAGAGGCATTTTCAAACTTAATATTGAAAAAATTAAAAACCGGAGACTAAGAAATGTGCTGCAAGAAACGGCACTGAACTAATGATACTGAATAAACATTTTGATTGCATAGAAAGTAAACATTGGAATCTAGAATCATTTCATTAAATTAAGGATTAAGGGTTATTGTCCTCTATATTAACCATCCTAATTGAAAACAAACAAAAAGATTACCTATTTATTCATTAAAAACAATAGACCAATCCAAAGCATAAATATTTTTAGATGAAACATGAAAAATCAAGTGGGTGGAATTTTTTGCCTGTCAGTGTATATATATATATATATATATATATATATATATATATATATATATTTAATTATTATATTTAATACTAACTATACCATGTAAGATAAAGAAAAATGTGTTTAAAATATAAATTAATTCCTCATATGAATTAAATAATTTAATTAGGTATATATATTATACGAAATAAATACACTTTGGTATCTGGAGTAGCATATTTTGATCCTTAGTTATCCATGTGTCTCAATTAAACTGTTGTATAAGTCTCCAATAGTTCTAAAATCTAAAATCTATTGAATAAACTATCTGTTAAAAGTCTCCGTTTTAAATTAACGACATTTAAAAAAAAAAAAATGCCGAAGCGCACTGATCTACAATAATATTAAAATATGATTGATTTGCATTTGAAATTACGTTACCTGTTTTATTTTGTTGATGGGCTGGTCTGTGTTTCCATTGTCAACAGCGGGGCGACCAGCCTCCCTGCTGCTGTCCTCCTCAGTTTCACTCAGTTCTGGCCCGCTCTGAAACAAGAAAATCATACTGTAAAGAGATATTTAAAATATATATATATATATATATATATATATATATATATATATATATATATATATATATATATATAAGAAGAATAGAGTACGAGAGTGGAATTTCTTCTTTTTTTTTCATTTCATATCAAATAATTTTTTTTTTTTCATATTTAAGTTTTATTATTTATAAATACCTCTATGCTTATATTTATTCAGTACGTCATTTATTTATACTCCTACAATAGCTTCACCTTCTCAGTATCTTTCTTCTTAACCCTAATGAAGACCTACAAATGTAGGTCGAAACGTCGGAACGGGTAGTTATAACTTATTTCATGTTATTTATTACAGACTCCTAGACAATCTCTTCCTTTTATAATTATTACGATGTAAATTTTTTTCCTTCAATATTTAAAAAAAAAATTGACAATTTAGTAAATTTTGCTCCGAATTGAACGGGGTTATTTAATTGATAAAAATATCCTATTTAATAGATAGAATTATATATATTCATTTAATGGGATAGTTGTGTGATCATTAATGGAACCTATGGACCACTTATGACGCTGATATATATATAATTCAATTGAATTACATATACCTAAGCCTTTCAAGGGCATATATAGCAGGTGGCTTGGCCCAAGAGAGGCCTTGAATTGGAGACTTTTGTTTTACTTTTTAATAGTGATAGATGATTTTAAAGGCAATACCACAAAAATAAAATAACACAACGAATTATATTATATTTACTAATACAATCAATAATACAAACATTGTATTTAAATACAAACAAACAACCACGTCTTCAAATTTTGAGTAAGAAACTCAAAACTGGGCTGCACGAACCTTCAAAATCATTCTTACGCCACTCTATACATTGAACAGTTACTGAACCAGAATAGGTAGGGAGAAGAATAGAGTGAGTAATGGCGAAGGATCATATGTGGTGTATACTTTTTTTTTTTCGGTAATAGAATTGCAATTATTTCTTATAACTATAAGTAATTGCTACTTTTCTACAGGGCATATAGCTCGGAGCTATCCATCTGGAAGCCTCCACATAACAATCAATGCCTCAATAGAAGGCAAAATACCACGTGGAAGGCCAAAAAGCAGATGGATGGATAGAATCAACAAATATGCAATAGAGCTGGATGCAGATAACTGGAAAGAAATAGCCCAAGATAGGCCCGAGATGGAGCAGGTTTGTTAAGGCGGCAAAAGATCTACAAGGTCTCTAATGCCAACAGAAAAAATATATAAGTATCCAAAGAAATAAAAATTAATCTGTGAAGAATCCATTCATTAATTAACATTCTTAAAGATATTGAGGAGTTACTTAATTGATTTAATTATGTATCTTCCTGTAATTTTTTTTTTTACTACTGCTACACTTGACTATTAATTTAAAGAGCAACTAAGATTTATTTGTAACGAATCCTGAATTAAAATATAAAAGCATTGCCAAGAAAATGTAGTTGATTTTACAGATAAATATGGGGAGAAAATCTTATAGGAATTTTATAATATTATAAATATTGGTTTAGCAGATCCTCTCATAAAAAAAATAATTATAAACATTGTATATTGTCTTTTTCGTAATTTTAACCAAATTATCATTTTTAAAAAAAACAGAACCAGTAGCAGATTCAGGAATTAATTTTGGAAGGTTTTTAACATTAATTAGAGCAATTATAAAACTTTTAGAGGTGAATTTTTTATATTTTAAAAAGAGGCCATAATGCGGTTATGCATTTGGCTCAGATCAGTCATAGGAACGAATACAAACCACAGAAAAAGAATATATATATGGGTTGGTGGGGAGGCCGAAAGAGCTCTTGAATCCGCTGATGTAATGAACAGGAAAAAGAACTAATTGTATCCTACTTATATATTATTTATTTAGAGGTAGTCCAGAATTATTCCTATCTAATTCTGTTAGAAAATAAATCTTGACTAATTATTTTTACATATTTCACTCATTTTATGGATGGATTAACCTTAAATAGATAATAAACCAAGTTATAAGTCCCCATTTATGGAATATATATAATTACCTAAGAAGAATTTTTTTTTTCTTTTAGTTTATGCTTGAACTATATTTGAGCCAGTTACGTAATAAACACTAAATTTTTAGATATAGTATTTAATATTATTTTCTAATAAATAAAAAAAATTCAAATTAATAATGACTTTCATCTAAATAAAGAAGTGCCATAAAATGAAATAAAAAATAATAATACAGTATACACTATCTCTATCAAGCAAATATAAAACGAACTGTATGTTTTGTTAATACATTATATATATATATATATATATATATATATATATATATGTAATTTTCGGCTAGCGAAGATGGAGTGATGCCTGTTTGTTTGTCGGTCTACGCCGGTGGTCCGTCTGTTTACAGTACTCCAAAGGTGGCTGGAAAGAACCTGTAAACAACCAACCCTAATCGCTCATGCCTCACCCGTGAAAATTCGTTACAAACTATCATCGATTCGAAATGACATCAATGATAAAAAAAATGGTTTAACTCATCAAAATTATTTACCTTAACTTTATTCTACCTAAAATAATACCCCGTTTTCATAAATCAAAAATAAGTTTACCAATTAATTAACTTGTCTTGGAAAAGGTTACTGAACAAGTACTGAACACCCTCAGTGCTCAAACCAAGACCTGAATATGACCCACATGTTTGGGATGAAATGTTGGCAAAAATAAAAAAAATTAAAAAAGACTGCGTCCTGAAAATTTATCACCAATTTTTTCCTATAGCTGAATGATATATTCAATTCAAGCTAAACATGTCGGGTAAAAAGTTATATGATATAATAATTTTCTTAAACATTAATATGATTATTAAATAAGTCTCCCAAGATCTTTGTCACCTACCAAAAATCAAAGCTAAGGCTATTTAGTTTTAAGTAGTATCTGATACTTTTGCTACTTCTAGCGACTTCGGATTTTTAATTGGTCCGTACAAGCTTCTTGGACCGACTTCAGTCCTAAAGATTTTCAAACTTCTCATTGAAATTTTAGTGGATTTAGATTCAACTATGTGAAAATAGAAAAAATAGATTGGGAACTACAAATATTATCTGACCAACATTAAAATTTGTCAAATCTAAAACATGTTAGCAAAAGATGCGTTTTTACTATTTCTCTAACAAACTGTAAGGTGAAATTTTAAAATGAAAAAGTAATGATTAATTGCCTCATAAACTTTTAAAAAAATTGATCATAAAATTATGATTAAAAACGAGCATAAACAATATTAACCCTATTTTTTATTATTCTGTTTACATGCTTTTCATTTATTTCTGCTATTAGGTTTTTAATTTAATTTGTTCAGACATTGTTATGTAACCATGCGAATTGAAAATGAATTCATGAATGAAAGGTGTAAAGAATTCGGAAATGTTAATAAGGTTTTGGATTAATATTTGAATTTTATTTATTAATATAGTTTATACTTTATTTGGCTTAGATTTTTGGATGATTTAGGATTTTTTGGTTGGAGTCTTTTTTATTTGAAAGTAAGTACCAAAAATAATATTACAAAATTTAGATTAAAGTTAAGGTTGTAAATGTATTAGCGGTGATTTTTGTTAAACAACTAGACTAGGTTAATATTTTAATGTGCCTCTTTTTTAAGCACATAACTGTTTTATAATAATTTAAAAAATCAAATTTAAATATATCAAATTATTTTACGTTACTGGATCTCGTACACTAGTTCGATTTCGGCAATGATGGATCATTTTTTAATTGTGGAATATTCTCAATTCTGGAGACTCGATATAGTAGGTGAGTTTAATTGGTTTTGGGGATAGTCCAGGCAGTAGTGACGGTATTGTTTGACTTTCTTACCAAGTATAGAACTCAAGTACATAAAACATCATGGTTTGTGGTCGTATATGTCAACTTACTAAATTTTGTGATAATATTTAGAATTAACAAAATGATTTTAAAAAGTAATTAATATAAAATCTAAAAAAATAAAGACCTGCATATTTCATCAATTAATATTAGCATCTAATTTTAAATATAGTCTCCATTTTTTAACATACACAGTAAGCATATCTTTACTACAAAATTTATTTTAGAATAGAAATATTACAATTTAAGACAAAGAAAATTAGATGAAGTAAAAAATAACTTTCAATCATTTCGTTATTTCATTACTCATTTATCTCGATATAGGCCAGCTAACATAAACGCGTATATCATTTATAGGCTTTCTTTTTCCCCTCAATTTCTTCATCTACTCCCCCTTCTCCTTTCTTTGCTCCTCTGTCCACATCCTTCTTTCCATCTACTATCATTCTTCTCTGATCCCTGGTATCTTATTTCTCGTTTAATATGCTTAGGATAATTTTTGAGGTTCTTTAGTTTTATCTCTTTGTCAAAGATCCGCTTGTTCAATCAATACTTTCATATCCCCTTCATGTGATCGTAAAACTTGAACTTTCTTTTCTTTATTGATGTCCCTAGGCCTTCAATCCAGTACTCTTCTCCCACCTTTCTTGGACCATGGATGGATCTCAGTATCTTTCTCTTTTTTTTTTTTTAACAATCTCTCTGTGCTTACCCTATTTTTCGGGTCCATACAATACCACCAGTGTTCTCGTTGTTTTCTACAATAAAATTCGCTATAACTATTCTCCACAGCTTGATGACTTATTCAAGTTCGTCTTATCCCAGCACATCATCAATTAAAAGTAATTTACCCTCGGCTTAAATGGAGCGATTAACCATCTATAATGTGAGTCACTTTGATACCCGTTAGAAAATGATCTCCTTGAGAATATTTTTATTGTGACCTCTATCTGTAATTACACGTCCCGGGGGTATAATAACACATCTCAAAAACTAATAATTGTGTCCATTTAGATAGTAAATTGGCTCCCCCTCCTCCATTTCGTAATAAATTTAATTCCGAGTTAATATAAATACTTGAGAGTTTGCTGTCGCGTGACGGGGCTGAGCACGCACCTCGGTCGCGGCCGCCTTGGAGCTCCGCCGATCTCATACTGCATCCAAATCGGAGCTTGATAAAAATCTGATTCCCGTCAATGTTCCACCGTAAAAGGATATCAACTTAAATATTCCATAATTAATTTAGAATTTAAATACGGAAAAGACCTTTGTTTAACCGATGCCTGTACACAATTGACCGTTACAGATTTACAGATGTAAATATTTAAAAAGATATCGATATATTTTAAGTATATCCTAACAGTGATTTGTTATATCGAAAAAGTGCTTCGATATATTGCCGCTCGTTATTTTTAATATTTAAAAAGAGCAGTGTCATAATTATCGAGAAATATAGTTTTCATAGTAATCATATACATCCAAAAATATAATTGAAGGAAATTAGTCGACTGTTCTGCATATCATAGGGGATAAATAGTCAGGACGAAGTCATTTTAAGATTTTTATAATTTCCAACGTTTTAACATTAAGTTTTGGGTCATTATCAGTAGTGTTGCACAAATGCCAGACCAAGACGAGTCTTGGTCTTGGAAACTCAATCTTGGGCATGGTCTTGATCTTGCGCAAGAGTCTCGCAACAGTCTTACAGTTATATATTAGCTTATTGCTATAGAAATATTACTATGATTTTTTATATAGGAGAAACCTAACTAAGCCCGAATGAAAAATTAGAGGAGTTAAATGCAAAAGTATATTGGTTATACCAATTATTAATATATAGTAACTAAGATTGTCAAGTATTAGTAACTATTTTGCCTTAATTTTCATTTTAAAAACCGATTTTTTTTACCAGTCCTGGTCTTGGTCTTGCAAAGTGCAAGACCAAGACCAATTTTGGGCAACACTAATCATCAACACTAATATTTAGAATGATATAGTAAAATGATCTAGTGCTATTATTATGGCATATATAAGTTAAGTTAGAGAAAAAAAAATAATAAAATTAAAATAGCAAATATCAATAAACATTTTCACAAAGTATGTCCTAATCCGTTTGGATAAACTGTTTACATTAGTAATATCCAGGGTTTGAAATGTATAGACTCTTAATGATTCTAAGTAATTTAGTCAATATATATTGAATCAATAGCAACCTGAAACTTCTAATTATTTGTTTTTCACTTTTATCGAGTTAGTTGACGTTACGAAAATTTGTACCGATCATCAGATCTTTTCCCTACAATATCCATCCAAGTCCATTATCTAGTATATTTAAATGTTTCTGCTAGAACTTAAGGGAAAGCTGTATTAGCTCTAGTTGTCGTGTTATTGTATGATTGGAATGCCTACTTTCTAAATAGTAAATAATTTACTCAATGTATTAAAATGTGTACGTTTATTTCTAAAAGGGATGGAGATACAAACGGCTGATTTTAAATTTGTGAATCATTTTGCGGAAAATAATTTTTAGCAAATTTTATATTTTTTATGGAGAAAAATATTTTTAAAAATGTGAATATGTGATAATGGTATATTTTCACAAGGAGTATGTAAAGTGCTACAGAAAGGAACAAGGTACTTTATACGCTTCCACTTGTTAAAAGATAGAAGGGATCATATGCATATGGAATCTTTCTTATACGTCGTATGATCGAATCGTCAATTATCGTTGTTAAGAATGTGTGTATTTAAGTTGTTTATTTTATTTTTTTATATATATTTACTTTTACTGTTGTTATTTTGCTATTTAATTTATTTTTATTTATTGTACATAGAGTGTGAATGAGCTATTCTATTACTATTACTAATGTCCTTGGATGTGACTGAATGTAATATTTATCAATAAAGAATTTATTGAAAAAAATAAAATATATATCGTTATTGGTATTTGCGAAAAGATATTTTTTCTTGATTGCAACCTTTGACAGGATTGTGAAATATTTTTTATTTACTTATCGTTAGTTTCCTAGATAATTCATAATATGACTGCATCCTGGCTATTTACCATCTATGATATGTAAAACAGTCGACTGACTTCCATCAATAGTGAGCACATCTAGTTGTTCCGAAGCTAAAACCATCATTTTTTCAAATAATTATTAGATGTCCATTCAAAATTATCACATATAAAAGTTTCTCATTGCACCGTTTTGTATTTTATTGTACAGCTTTAAAACAATTCAAATGATTTTAAATAGGGCTCATGTTTGTTAATTTTTTCTTTTAAAGCTTTGGTTAGTCTTTTTATCCGAATTAAAATAATTAATCATTGAAATAAAAGTCAAATGTGTCAGTTTTAAATTCCCGATGTAAATACCTACGTTTTTATACGATTTCTTCACAATGTTTATTTAAATATAAATCTCTAAATGTTAAATTCTGCAAAAAAAAAAAAAAAAAAAAGTATGTGCATTATATAGAAATCAAAATTGTGTTAATGTACTTCATTCGTTCAAATTAATGAAAAATGCTTTAACGTATCCATTTTTCGTTAAACACTAGTCTTATAGGAAACTATTATGTAACGGACAAATCCATTGTGCCCGTGACCGTTGTAGAGGGGTTTAAATGTAATACGTTTTTTGACATAAATAATTTCTTAATTGGATATATTATCTTAATGATATGGAGGAATATTATGCCTTTTTTTATTATTAATGAAATTTACTACTAATACAAATACTAATACAAATAAATATACAAATACTAATACAAATAAATATACGAGTGTATCAAGTAGTAAATGCTACTGTGTACAGAGAAATACAATAGCATGAAAAGACAAGCTTTTTTAAAATATTATTATTTTTGTGAGACTTCGCATTATAAAGCTCTCAGAAAAGATGCAAGTTATAAAATGATCCTGATTATTACGCGATCGCTTAATAGAACTAACAGATTGGGAAGGCAAATTAAATTATTTTTTATGACATCTGGACAACGCATCAATTTATATATATATCATTTGAAAATTGCTATGGAACTTTGTACGAAAGGAAAGAATTTAGAATTAGTTTGAAAATGGATTACTGTGCAGTTGTTGGAATGCACGGTGCTATAGGCTGTTTAGAAATAGGACAACTTTCACCAATATTTAGATCGGTCTGTGGATGGTGGACCAATACTAGTAATTATCAACTTCCCAATATAGCTGCATATTACTTTACAAACCATAGTAAAATAATGTAATAATATATATTAAAAATATATTGAATCTACTACTTGATGATTAAACTGGTCATTGTATGAAACGTTACTAAAGTGTAAAATCTCAATCTAACCGGTTTAGGTAAATTATATAACGTTATACTTCTTTTTTAAGTTGTACGTAAAATTTATTTATTGAAAAATATAAGACTTCGTTAATTATAAAGTAACCCATTTTTATAGAAAATGCACCCTTCAAAGGAATCAAATTCTCTTTAATGTCTGGGAGAAACTAATTCAACATAATTTATTTTTATTTTCAATAAAATTTTATAAATAAAAATACGTTGAACTGAACAAAAATATACTAGAATACTAAAATAAATTAATAATAAATTGCCATACCAAAGCTTAATAAATAAAATTTATAATTTTGGATGGTTAAAAATTTCAGAATATTTCTGATACAAAGAATAAATAAATAAAGCGCTCATTCTAACAAGAATATACTACTATAAATATCCAGAGAAAAAAAAAAATCTTTAATCACGGAAATTTTTTAATAAATATAATAAAGAGTAACAAAGATGATTACTGTAGACTCAATTTAAAAAAAATACTGTTCTGAAAAATGTCTTACTTTTCCTTCTCTCTCCCTCCCCCCTGGCCTCTCTCACAAAAATAAAAAGTTATAGCGAAATCTCTGACCATACATGAAGTTAATGTCAGTAAGTTTTGAAAATTGGTGCCACATTATAGATAAGCCATATACATATATTTGGATATATAAACTCTAACAGCCTTTCTCTCTTAAAATTTTATTAATTTATGTGTAACGTTTCATGATTTTACATCCCATTTTCAGACTGTAATAGGAAATTTTTTATATACATTTAAATAATGCATATATTTTTATACATCAAATAACTATTAAGTTGTCAATGTTACCGATCATCTATTCATCAGATTTGTCATTATTTTTAATAAATAATAATTCTTTAAAAAATGCAATATATTTTAAGTATTATTTTTATACGTATAATTTTATTAATTGTGTTTATTGAGTTTTATAATTAATTATTAAATCATCTCATTTTTAGAGTGGACGTTTCTCTTTGGGAGAGCATATTCAGTACTGATATATTTATGAATTAGAGGTCAAATTCTACTACATTTATTAATTCATATATTTAATCTGTTATTAATGCTGACTATGCTCTCCCTAAGAGAAGGGTTCACTCTAAAAATAAGGTGATTCAATAATTAATTTTAAACATAATTAATAAAATTATATGTATAACAGTAATACTTAAAACATATTGCCTTTTTTAGGAATTATTATATATTAAAAATATTGACAAATTTTGTGAATAAATGAGAGGATAAGGATAATAGATAAGATTAGCAACTTAATAGTAATTTGATATATAAAAATATATGCATTATTTAAATACATATAATTTGTTTTCCTATTACAGTATGAAGATGAGATGTAAAATCCCGAAACGTTATACATAAATAAATAAATGAAATTTGGGAGAGAAAGGCTGTCAGAGTTCATATACTCAAATATATGTATGTGGGTGGCTTATCTATAATGTGGTACAAGTTATCAAAACTTACTGAAGGCACACTCATGCGAGCCTCACGTGGTACTAAGAGAGGTAGTGATGTTGGAAAAATATTCATATCTATATTTATTTGTATAGTTATATTAATATTAAAATTTTCTAATCGAAACCAACCCCAATTGCCAAAAAAAATTAACAAGCAAAAAACTAAAATTAGGAATTTCTGTGAGGGAAGCCACCCATATTGGTTATCACATTAAAATGATATTATGCTGTTATATTGAACGATACATAAAAAATATTAGTTTAATTTTATGTTCGTATTATCTTTTCATTTTTTTTTTTTTCTGTTTGACGGGTATGCATTTCTCAGAGGTTCTTAA